TTTTTTGAGACAGTTTCTCTGTAGCTTTGGAGCCTGTCTGTCCTGGAACTAGCTCTTGTAGACCAGGCTGGCCTCGAACTCACAGAGATTCGCCTGCCTCTGCCTCCCGAGTGCTGGAATTAAAGGTGTGCACCACCCCACCCCCAGCCTTTTCAAAATTCTTAATTCTCCGCTCTGATGGTAAATCTGACTCCTGTTAGCTTCAACGCACACCACAACATGCACATAAAACCCTTAGAGTAACTACCCTCCTATTGCTTCCTCCAAGATCACTATAATCCCATTATCAATAAAATCTGAACAGACTAATAATGAATAAGGAGATAAAACTAACAAAAGACCCCCCCAAAATCCTAGACCTGATGGTTTCACTGCTACCATTTAAAGAACTGATAGCAATCTCCAACTTTTCTAAGCTCTGATGGCAAAATCCAACAATGACATCACTAAGGGAAAACTCAGGCCACTATTTCTTATAAACATACGTGAAAAATTAAGATGCTAGCAAGACAAACTCAACAGCATACTCAAAAGAGTATGACTATTGCCATGTGGGATTGCCTCAAGGGTTCAAGGATGGGTCAGTATGACAAAAGCAGAATTCCCATGACATTTTTGGCAGAACTGTTCTAAACTGCGTATGGAACCACAAGAGAGAGCAAGTAAAGTGAGCGGAAGCCCAAAGAATAACATTGGAGAGAAAGGCATGGTGTCTCAATGGGAAATCCTAGGGCTCTTCTGACGAGTGGGAAGATCGTGAGTTTGAGGCATACAGCAAGACCCGGGCCAGCCTGGGATATACAATAGGGCCACATTTCAAAATAATAGCAAAGACTGCGGATGTAGCTCAGTCGGCAGGACGCTTGCTTAGCACGCATGAGTCCCTGGGTTCCAAGCTCAGTACATCGTTAAAATAGTGTGGTGGTGTCTGCCTGGAACTCCAGCACTCAAGGTCATCCTCAGTGACACAGGAAATCTGAAGCCAGCCTGACTACAATACTTGATTTCAAAATGTAACTAAAAGTTGCAGTAGTCAAAATAGCAGGTATTCGCTCAAGTAGACCCACACCGTGCCAGCCCCGGGAATAAGTTCATGCATTTACATCTAGCTTCTTTCTGACAGAAGTGTCAGGAATGCACAATGGGGAAAGAACAGTAAAAGGCTCTGGGAACTGGGTCTACCTGCCCATGTATGCGATGAGTTCCTCAAGTCACACCATTTACAAAGATCACCTAGAGCTCACCTCAAACGTTCAGAGCTAAAACTAAAACTCCTAGGGGGGAAATGGGGGAAAGGCAACCTGACCGTGCTTTAGGCAATTGTGCTTTTGACTTGCCACCAAAAAGCCACCAACGAATGCAAAAGTAGACAAATGGGATTACTAACGAAAAGGGCTTCCTTGGAACAGCAAAGGAGAGAAGAAAGTGGAAAGACCACCCCCAGAATGGGGCATCTGATAGCAGGCTGCTGTCCAGAACAATCCAATAGAAGAAGACAAAGGATGCCCTGCTGTGGTGACATGCCTTCAACCCCAGCAACCTCTGATCTACTTAGCAAGTAATAAGACCACACACACACACACACACAAAGGATGTAGTTAGTAAAATGGACCAAAACCCATTACATATGTTCTCAACAAAGGGTCAACAAGCCTATAAAAAAAGAAAACTCAATCAGGGAGACAAAAATTAAAATGGGACGTCACTTCATGCCTATCAGAATGGCTATTAAAAAAAAAGAGGGAAGTTGGGCTGAAGAGATGGCTCAGCATCTAGCAGAGGACCAGAGTTCCCAGCATCCATGTCAGAGGGCTCACAACCACCTATAACTTTGGCTTCTGGGAATCCAATGCCATCTTCTGGCCTCCTAGGGCACCAGCACTCATGTATGCACCACACACGCACACGCATGCACATACACACGCACACACACACACACACACACTCACATGGAGAAAGCTAACAAATGCTGGTAAGAACATGGAGTAAGGAGAAACTGCACTGTTGGTAAGAATGTATGTTGGTTCAGCTGTTATGGGAGTTCCTCAATCCCATTATTGGGTTTATATATCTACGTCCCAAGGGGGAAAAATCAGTATGTTGATATCTACACTCACCAAGCAGATGAGCAGATGAAGAAAACACAGTACAAATACACAGTGAGATGGGATTCAGCCATTTAATGGGGGAAACCCTGACATTTGCGATGATGTAGACAAGCCTGGGATAAAACTAAGGCCAAGAAAACAGATACTTCATGATGTAGTCCACACATGAAATCTAAAATCGCTGAAGTCAGAATGGGGTATTGGAAGGTTGGGATGCACTTGAGAGGAACTGGGGAAACAGGCAGTCAAAGGACACAATTTTGGGGATCATCTTTAAAGAAATAAAGTTGAGATGACCCCATGGATAAAGGCACCTCCCCCAAACCTGGTGACCCGAGTTTGCTTCATGGGACCCACGTGATGGGAGGAGAGGGCTGTCCTCTAGGGCCAGTTCCTCAGATGTGCTCTTACCAGCAAACAGATTAATAAAATCTGATAAAAATGTACACCTAAACCGGGTGGTGGTGGCGCACGCCTTAAATCCCAGCACTCGGGAGGCAGAGGCCAGCCTGGTCTACAAGAGCTAGTTCCAGGACAGGAACCAAAAACCTACGGAGAAACCCTGTCTAGAAAAATTAAAAAAAAAAAAGTACACCTAAAAAACTTTCTGAGAGTAAGAACACACACACAGAAGTTCCTTATCTCAACCTCTGCTCTTCTCGTCACGGCCACGTGCAAGCCATGAAGGGAACTCAAAGATCCTGACCACACTGCCCCCTGAGACTTCGTCCCTGGGGCGGGGCAGCCGGGTGTGATGGCATATTCCTTCAATCCTAGCACTCAGGAAGAGTTTGAGACAGGCATGGTCTACATAGTGAGTTCTAGGGCAGCCTGAGCTACATGGTGAAACACTGTCTCTGAAAAAAAAAAAAAAAGACAAGAAAAAAGAAGAAAATCTTTGAAAAAGGGATATCAATTGTTTCCTGAGACACCATTTCAAAGGGCAGTTACAGAGAAAAGCATTGCTGAGAACATTGTAAAACGCCTAATGTTTCTAAACAACCCAAACAACTGCTCCTTAGAACAAGAATGTGACAAAGAGTAAGGGAAGTTAACTGAGATTTCGTGAGCAAATAGCAAAATTTTAGCAAGCATTTTGAGAAAATGGTTTATTTCATCGCCAAGAAAAAAAATCACAGTATACAAAGATATTACAAAAGTAACACAATGTTTTGTACAATAAAAGACATCTTGACATTTAAAAAATATTTCATCTTGATACAAAGGTTAATGTCTTAGATAATAGTATCTGAGAACTCTAAAAAAATAATTTCCTGAGTGCCTTGAAGTCCATTTATTATCAAGCATATAAAATAAGTTTCAAATGCAGACAGCTCAGCAGGAGAGCACTTGCCCAGCAGTTATATGACTCGGGGTTCAATTCCTGTATGATGCTCCCCTCCTTTCCCCTCAGAAATCTAAATATTTTAAACCAGATGCAGTGTGGTGGCATACGCCTACAACCCCAGCACTTGGAAGGGAGAGGCAGGTGGACAGTAAATTCAAGATCAAAACAGCAACAGATTTCACTATTTAGCTGAGATTTTTGAATCCATGGCCAACAGTATTTTCCAATTCTTTGACAACTGATTGATGTCTCCTATGTTGCACAGGCTGATTGTCAAGTCCTACCCTCAAGCACACCTCCCGCCTCAGCCTTCCAGGTGCTGAGGCTACAGGCGCGAATCTCCGTGAGGTCTAGTGAAGATTGAAAGTCACAGGGATCCTGAAGCACGCCAACCTTATCCTAATGTTTTGATTAAAAAAGCTTAAAAAGAAAATGACACAAGATGTTTTTAGCTTCTCTTTCTGAGCTCAAGAGATATTCATTCTGTTTATACGGAGAAAGCAAGAACTAAGTGGTGATATGAGGATACTGGCAACAGGGGAAGAGATGTGGTGCACAGGTGGAGTTTGGGAAGGAAGGCCCATGCCCTCCAAACCAGGTGAAATACAAGCTGGGCGATGGTGGCGCACACCTTTAATCCCAGCACTCGGGAGGCAGAGGCAGGCGGATCTCTGGGAGTTCGAGGCCAGCCTGGTCTACAAGAGCTAGTTCCAGGACAGGCACCAAAAGCTACGGAGAAACCCTGTCTCGAAAAAAGAAATACAAGTGCAACTAGGGAGAAAGGGGAAACGTGGCTAAACGCATTTTAAGTTATAAAATGAGTTCTGTGACCAGGAAAACAGCACCTGGAAATAAAACATCATTTGAAAATACTCTAAGCACAGATGCAGATGAACCTTAGTTCCATTTAGAGGAGAAACTAAGAAAGAAGTCAATGTGGGGTAACATCTGCTGAGCTTTCTAACAGCTGTGTTATCAGTGCCAACTACTACCGAATTGCTACAATCATCTGATTTGGGCATGCAGATCAATATGGTCAAATGCTTCCCCGGCAAAGCCCAATTAAATTAAATCTGTCACTGATGTCCAGAACCACATAAACTTGGTGTGACTGTGCACACCTGCAATCCCAGCACTCCCGAGGTAGAAGCAGAAGGATTCGAAGGTTAAGGTCATCTTTGGCTATGTAGCAGGTTTGAGGACAGCTTGAACTTTATGAAACCCCATCTCAAACAGGAGTTCAAAGGAGGTGGTCAGCTTCGCATATACACTGAGGAGAGACCTAGATTTGCTGCTGTCCTGACAGATTCGGGAGATGAAGAATCAAGGACGACATTAGAAGCACAACACGACAGTTTCCAGAGCTGGTGAGGTGCGGAAAAGCAAGCCAAAAGCAAGGCTTCGATACATCAGACTAACATTTAAATTTATTTTGTAATTTTTTTTCTGTTTCCCCCTACAAGGGGTTGAACACAGGGTCTTGCAAACATTAAGCAAGCTCTAACCACTGAGTTGCATCTTAGCCTTTTCTATCTTTATTCTGAGACAAAATTTCCATAAGCTGCCCAGGCTGGTACTGAGCTTACTATGCAGCCCAGGCAGGCCTTGAACTGTAATGTCAAGCAGAAAGATGACAGACATGGGCTAGAACATCTGGTTAGATTCCTGATAGAGAAGTAGACGGGCTTTATGAGATTAAAGGGAATGAGGACATCTTCTAATAAAGAAAAGGTTTTAAAAAGCATGTTTCTTGAAAATATTGGTATTAAGCTATTTTTTAAAAGACTTATTTTATTATGTATACAATGTTCTGTGCCTGCATGTATGCCTGAAGGCCAGAAGAGGGCACCATATCTCATTACAAATGGTTGTGAGCCACCATGTGGTTGCTGGGATTGAACTGAGACCCTCAAGAACAGTCAGTGCTCTTAACTGCTGAGCCATCTCTCCAGCCCAAAGCTAATTTCCTAAGTAGCCTTAGTGGTATGAGTCTAAATAATATAAAAATAGAAAACAAAAACCCTCCATACCTTGAAATCTCACTTCAGTGATCCTACCCTCCCCCGTCTCTGTCTCTGTCACACACACACACACACACACACACCACACACACACACACACACACGCACACACACCTAAAAATACCAAGAAACCCCAGAAACCCCTTAGGGGTCACTTTAGTCTATGGGCCTCAACAATAATAATGAGTTTATTTCCCAATGGCATAGCCATTACACGTTTTACCTTAAATCTGCTTAAAAGCAAATATCAATTCATTTAACTAATACATTAATACATTACAAAAGACACATAGCTTGTCTTGAGGACATATGAAAGAACAAGTCACACCAAGCACATCCAATTTCGGCATCTTTCAAAGTAAGAATCATAGAGCCCTCTACAGTTACTACTTCTGCACCCTCTCTTTATAGTCTATATACCTAAAGCTTTATAGCTCCCTAGATTTAAGTCCTGAAACATATTTAAAAAAAAGTATATGCAAAAGAATCACTCAACTGCTCACTCTGCAGAGTGTCAATACTTGAATATTGACTATTCTGAGCAAAATTATGACTATTTGCATCATTCGACGGTCCAGGCTCATTTATCAGGCTGTTTTCGACACAATTGAAGCTTGACCTATTGAATGAATCTGGCTGAGAAACAAAGGCAGAATTAGATCTGGTGCCTGCTGATATACTGGCAGAAGGCATCTGGTGTAGTTGTCTCAGGTCTCTTTGGTCTAACCTTGAGTTACATGAAGGGTTTTCAAGATTGATGCTCACAAGTCTTGGATTATCAGTGTCCCCCACGTTATCATTGCTGGTTGTCATCAAATTCACAGGGTTATTAGCCAGCATGTTGACATCAGAAATGCTATATAAGTCGGCCGGTGACATGGATGGCGTTTCCATTCTAGCTAGGCCATCAGTATAGAGGCAAGCATTAGGAGCACTTAACTCGATACCAGGCACTTCTAGGAACCCAAGGGTGCCTGGTGAGTTAGAGGGCACTGTTGCTGCTGAGAAGCTACTCAATGTATTTGTACTGACTGAGCGTGAGGTGGGGTGGGTCACTGGTGACCAGCTTGTAGGTGGAGAGACCACCGAGGCCATGGCTGGTGGGTGATGCCGTCCACTTGAGATGGGCACAGATGAAGAATAGTAGGGTTCGGCTTGACTTGACACTCCCGAAGACCTGGGCATTTCTGGTAAAACGGTACCATGAGAAAACAAGTTTGGTTCTGTAGAAGAAAATGTATTTTATAAATTAAGGTGAACTAATTAACCTAAAGCATTATTTTTGAATTGAAATTATAAAAACCCACTAAAATTTTTCCAGGGAACTGATACATTTCAAATAAAAAAAAATAAAGCGCAAAAATTATTACATGATTTCAAAACTAAATTCAGTAATATGTAATTGCTTTATAAATAGATGAAAAATTATTTTGAAAAATGTTGGTATATATAATTTTCTTCAAGTTAAATATGAAAATCCAACTTTTTGAGCCATATAGGTACATCTTTAAAACATGGCAGATAAGTATCGGATATAGTCTCTACTTTTAGGAGAAAATGGAGAGACGGAGAAGACATTCATGGGGAAACTAAAAAATAGTTTTTAAGACTTACTAAGATATGGTACTACAAAATTCCCTATCATAAAAACTGTATTTATTGACATATTACAAAAGTATTATATAAACCAGGATAAAGTACCAATTTAAGGAAAGAAGATGGAAAATTTGTCAGGGGCTCATAAAATATCTTCTATCAAAGGCCAGATGGTTTTAAGGTATGTTGGGTGAGCAACCTCTGTTGGAACTACTCGAATCTGTTGCTGCAGAAGGAAAAAGGGAGTCTAGGTCTGGAGTGGACTGGGCCTGCCAGCAAGTGCTCACATGCCTGAGGTCTGCTGCAGCACCGCTTAAAAAGGCAGTGAGAGACACTGCAACCAAAGGAGCTTAGCGCCATATCCACATCATTTCTCCCAGGACACAGTGCAATTAGCAATTTTACCAGCTGTGATGGTTTGAATACGAATGAGCCCTATAGACTCATGTTTGAATACTTGGCCCACAGGGAGAGGCACTATTAGGAGGTGTGGCCTTGTTGGAGGAAGTGTGTCACTGTGGAGGTGGGCTTTGAAGTCTCATATGCTCAAGCTATGCCCAGTATGACACACTGGGGCTTCTGCTGCCTGTGGATCTGGATGTAGAACTCTCAGCTCCTTCTCCAGCACCAAGTCTGCTTGCATGCCATCACGAAGAGACTGAACTAAAGCTCTGAAACTGTAAGCCAGTCCCAGTGAAATGTTTTCCTTTGTAAGAGCTGCCGTGGTCATGGTGTCTCTTCCCAGCAGTACAACAGGGACTAAGATACCAGTGTATCAACAAAATGTAACTGCTTGACAATAAAATCCCCAAAATAGAATCAGTTTCCAACACAACCTCCAGAGGCACAGAGCAGCTAAATGCAATATTGAAAGCATGAGAAAATCTGTAGAAAATAAAAATATTTAAAAAGCATTTATTCCTAAAATATGGAATAACAACATTTAATAGGGATAAAATACCTTTTTTGATGAATCTTCCATCTCCAATTGACCCTGAGGGGACAGTTCTTATTCTCTCAGGAAAGTTAGCTGCTATGATAAAAATTTTCTATTATTAAATGTAACTTGAAAAAAGTTTATAATTAAAAAAATTTAAAAACCAGTAAAGCAAAGAAATTAGTTTAAATATAAATCAATCCAAAATATTCTTACCACAATCTTGCATCAGTTTCTGAAAAAGTAGAGTTGTTTTTTGTTTCTTTGATTTATTGCCATATGCATCTGATTAAAAAAGAAAGCAGACAAAAACAGTAAGTCATCATGGGTTCTATCCCCCCACCATTAAGTAGGCACACTGAGAGCACACGGCAGTGCTTTGAGTGATGTGAGTCATATAGACCTGTAGAGACATACAGTACAGATCTGTACAGTAGATCCTGTAGAGACATACAGTACAGATCTGTACAGTAGATCCTGTAGAGACATACAGTACAGATCTGTACAGCAGATCCTCTATCAGCTGTCAGGGACACTTTGAGTGATGTGAGTCATATAGACCTGTAGAGACATACAATACAGATCTGTACAGTAGATCCTGTATCAGCTGTCAGGGACACTTTTCTTTTAAGCAGCTAAACTAGTCATTTTTTCACCCTAAAAACATATAAGTCAACATGAACTAATGAAATAAGGTCTGGGAATACATAAACCAAAACAGATACCATTAAAAACCTTTCCAAATATAAAAGGGCACAGTAAGTACAAAAAGTGAATCCAAAAATAAACAATGAGAGAAAATATGATCCAACAGTTCAAGAACTCTCAAATTACTGAAACCCTCCTAAGAAATGTAAAAAGCAAGAAAAAAAAAACAAAGACACAATCCTGAAAACGTTCAGGAAAAGAAAATCTAAAATACAAAGATATAAAACTGCATTCAAAAGCCAGGCGGTGGTGGTGCATGCCTTTAATCCCTACACATGGGAGGCAGAGGCAGGCAGATCTCAGTGAGTTCGAGGCCAGCCTGGTCTACAGAGTGAGTTCCAGGACAGCCAGGACTGCTACACAGAGAAACCCTGTCTTGAAAAACAAAACAAACAAACAAACAAACTGCACGCACGTGTTTATTTTACAATATTACCAGCGTGATCAGTTTAAGAAGATGATTTGTTCTTAGCTGAGAATGCAGCTGGGCTGGTTCAGCACTTGTTAGTGTGCATAAAATGCTGCGTTCTACCCCTAGCACCACATTTAACAAGGTGGAGTGGGGAGCACAGTGTCCCATGTCTGCAATCCCAACAGTCAGGAGGTGCAGGCAGGAGGCTCATTCGGCCTTAGCTATACAGCAAGTCCATAGACATCATGGAGTACATGAGACTCTGTTTCCAATACACACACACACACACACACACACACACACACGTATATAGTGTATGTGTGTGTGTGTGTGTGTGTGTGTGTGTGTGTGTGTGTACATGACTGCCCTCATACCTTTTTCATCTGGCAGGTATCTGAAATCCATAGATTCACTAACTTCCTGGTCGGAAGGTCTCCGCAGCTGCATCTTCACTGTCACAGGCTCCAATATGGCTTTGCAATATGGAGGAGTCTTGAAAACAATAGCTACTTGGCGGTGTACATCAGCTTGTGAAAAAATCCCTTTAGCTTCCCAGTCATTCAACACAAAACGAACTTCTATGTCATCTAGTGAATAAGATGCCAAAGATTAGTAACAATGGGGGAACAAGGTAAAATACATATATTAATTAAAAATATATTACTAATTCAAAGAAACAAAATTGGCAAATACCTTTCTGAACTTTGTCGCAAAGTAGAAATATTTCGTCTCCTCCCCGGACACTTCCACAGTTCTTGTTTACACGACAAATCCTTAGTTCAGCAGTATTTGGGGCACCTAAACATAAAAAAGTCTCAGTATTGTCTTAATTAACGTTACTACTGCTATGATGAAACACCATGACCAGAAGCAGCTTGGGGAGGAGAGGGTTTATTTCACTCACAGTTCCATAGAACAGTTCATCATCAAAAGCAGAGAGGGTAGGAACTCATACAGGGCAAGAACCTGGAGGCAGGAGCTGATGCAAAGGCTGTAGTGATATTTTATTTGTCTTTTAATAAATAAAGCTTGCCTGAAGACCAGAACACAAAACAGCCGCACTAGTCAGTCATACAGGACAGGCAGTGGTGGCTCACATTAGTTAGTCATAGAGGCCTGGCGGTGGTGACACACACCTTTAATCCCAGCTCTAGAGAGGAATATAAGGTGGGATGAGACAGAAACTCGTTCTCATTCAGTCTGAAGATTTCATAGAGGTAAGAGCTCTCCTCTAGTGGTTGGCTGCTTTGCTTTTCTGATCTTCAGGTTGAACCCCAATATCTGTATTTGGATTTTTATTATTCATGCTACATTTGGCGCCCAAAATTTAAGGTATAAATTCATGAAAAAGCTGTCTGCCTGTGATTTTTTTTTAGCCACCGTCACAGGCTGGAGCTGCATGTGGGGCTCCAGTCCCACTCGGCTAGGCTTTCTTTTTTTTCCCCAAGCCTCTGAGCAAGTTGGAGATTTTCCTCTGTGACAGTCTCCAGCTGCACCCCAAACTCCAGAAGCACCTGGGCTCCAAACACCACAGGACTCACCTGCCCCAAATCGGCTGGTTCTGTATTCAGATAGCCCTGGTCACACACACTTTTTCAGAACAATCAACTGTGTTTCTTTCAGACAGCCTGTGGGCACTGCACTCTCTCTCTCTTTCCCTCCCCCTTCCCTTCTTTCTTTCCCTTTCTCCCCTATCCCCATCTTTCTCTCTCTCTCTCTCTCCCCCTTAGCTCCCTCTCTCTCCACTGTGGGTTTCAGTGCTGGGATTAAAGCATGCGCCACCACCGCCTGGCTATGCTAGACAGTTTTAAAATGAAATGATTAAATGAGAAAATATCTATTTTAGATGAGATTTATGTAACGTCAATTATAAACATTATCAGCTTTATGATTTTTGTCTTATCACTAAAAAAGTTTGTTAATCTGAATGCTAAGATACAGGCCTGAGAAAAACCTAATGAAACAGATCAAAGAGATATTCAAATCCAGACAGAGGAACCAACTTCAGTTTTGCATTATAAGAATACAGAGGAAAAGCCTAAGGTTTTCGGACAACCAACTTTGATATATCCAGTAGCCTTACAGGAATTGCCAGATGGCAGAGGCTCTGTTACAGTTAACTGGACTCCTGTGATATTGTTAGATTTAAGGAGATTCAAGGAAGCAATAGTCTCATATGGCATGCGTTCACCTTTTGTGAAGCCAAAGTTAAACTTGTGGTCAGTTCATAACAGAATTACCCTAAAGACTGGATAGACTTAGTTACAGGTGTTTGAGAACCTGGTCCACAATTACAATGGAGTACCAGGTTCAGAGAAGAAGCTAAGATTATTGAACAACGCAGTAAAGCCAGAGGTAGGGAATTCTCCTAAGATCAAATTGTTGGAGAAGGAGATGATGCTACTTTAGAAAGGCAAGCTGTATATGATGACCACACCCTGGATTTATACCACTCAGCAGCTTTGAATGCTTGGGACAGAATTGGAGAAATAGGAAAGAAAATTGAGTCATTTACTAAAGTTATACAGGGCCCAAGGAAGCCTTTAGGGATTTCTTAAAAAGATTGACTTGAGCAGTAAATAGAATGAAACCAAATTCAGAAGCTAGACAAATAATAATTGAATCTATGGCTTTTGAAAATGCCAATGCTCTATACAAAAGGATAATTAGGCCATTAAAGGCAAGGTCTGCACCTTTGGATAAATGAAGTCTAGATACAGTTAATATTGAATGTCATAAAAAAAATATTGAATGTCATGACCATGATGGTACATGGATAGGAAAGGTGATTTCCAGAGGTTTGAGGAAAACTCAAAATGTCAAATGCTATAGTTGAGGCAAACAAGGTCACCTTAAAATGGACTGTACAAAATGCAGTCCTAGAAATATTTTTTTTCTAAGAATAATCCATTCAGAATGCCCCTCCCTTCTGGATTATGCAGAGGTGTGGAAAAGGCAGGTATCAGACTAATGAATATATGTCAACAAGGAATAGTCAAGGTAATCCTTTGCCATCAGGAAACTCCCTGAGGGGCCTCTTGCAGGCTCCTATGCCAACTCTGGTTCAGTTGTTCCCTACCGTCGTAGAGGAAACTTCTTCCCAGAGCAAATAATGAACCTAATGCATATTGTAAGAAATCATACTGCTCTGGATAATAGAACAGGTATAGAAGAGAGAACAAAAACTGAGGAGAAACCATAAAGTATTTTGACAACTTATATAAAGGAACAGAGACCAAAATTAAAAATACAAATAAATGACGTTGTCACTGAAGGTCTGGAAGACACAGATAAAGATGTAACAATTTCATCAGAATCTTGGCATTCAGACTGGCCTCTTCAGGATGTAAATGTTCAGTTTTTAGGGATCATAACTTTATCTCAGGTAAAGCAGAACATGATATGGGTCAAATGTATAGGGTCAGAAGGACAAAGAACAATATTAAAACCATACGTGGCTAACATAGCAATAAATTTGTGGGGACATGATTTGTTACAGTAATGGAATACTCAGATTAACATTCCACAAATCTTAGAAACAAACCATAAATTAATGTATGTTTCTAGGAAAAATGTTACAAGATATTATAAAGAACAGTCACTGACCATTCAGGTTGTACATAACAGGTCACAACAGCTGCTGATATTTCAAAGGCACCAACAGCCCTACCTTTAAAATGGTTGACAGAAAAACCTGTATGGGTAAGCAATGGCCTTTAACAATAAAGAAACTACAGGCTTTAAAAAAGCTGGTACAGGAGCAACCAGATGCTCAGCATATTAAAGAACCAACCAGTCCTTGTAATTGTCCTGTATTTGTTGTTAAAAAGAAATGTGGAAAATGGAGAATGGTGACAGATCTAAGAGCTGTTAATGAGGTGATTCACCTAATAGGTTCTCTACAGTCTGGAATTCCATTGTCTTCTCTATTACCTAAAGGATGGCCTCTTATAAATATTGATTTAAAAGATTGTTTCTTCACTATA